TTGAAGGCAATTGTGGAAGGAGAGGCAGGAAAGGAGAACCTGGAGACTGTAAGAGGGGCATAGGCAGATGCATTTTTAAAAATAGCAGATATGGAGCTTGAGGAATTGAAAATTCATTTCCTGTTGTTTGCAGAATGACTTTGTACACCTTCTGGAGTTGTGAACCAACTTTGAACACATTGAAGCTACAAGTTCTCTGTGGGTCTCTTGCACATCTAAAATTCTGGGGTTGTTGTGATCTTTCACCCAATTTTTATGGAATGAATCCAACATGACTCTTATACCCTCCAAGAACAATATCTATGTTCAAGTTAGGAGCTTACATTTGACTGGAATAAAAATACTTTGGCAACCTCATCTTTCCCAGCTGGTCTCAGCCTCTGATGTGGCTTTCCTGGGCCCCAGGTCCCCCTACTTGGTCCCCAAATTTCACTACTACTTATAGTCCTAGGGGATGGAAGCAATGGAAGCATAAATTGCCCAGTTGAATATACGAGTATACTGTGAAAAATAGGCACATGCTTATGAGTGAGGATTGGCTTTGATTTAACTGAGCAAAGTTTGCAATTTTTTAATCATTTGCCTCCCATAAATTTGAATACTGTATAAATGTTTGTACCTATTGAATTTTTTGATGTTCACTTGCTGTGATTTCCATGGGTCTGTATTGACACAAATTTGACAACTCCGTGGTTGACTTAAGTTGAATGGCTTATAATGGAGACTAACTAGTTACTCATTAAAAAGAGCCCTCCTCACAGAAAAAAAAACAAAAAACAAAAAAACGCTGAACAGTGAATTGTATGATCCTGTTAGTTTGGCTGAAATTGAGAAGTAAAATTGGACAGACTGTGAGGCATTTGAATTAATTGCTTAGCCATTAGAAAAACCAAAGTAGGGAAAAAGGCGTTATGCTTATTTTATTTCCATAACGTCATTTAAGCATAATCTTAGCAAAGTGATCTTGTTAAAACATTCTGCAGGATGTCCACTTGCGGTCGGAAGGGGATTGTTTTAGCTGCTGGGGTAGGATTGTTTTAGATGATGGGCTGAGCGTCCAGGCAGCTGGCAAGGCGGTCCTGGAGCCTGTGCAGAGCAGGCAGGGGACGCGGGGGCAGCCTCCTTCCCCCACACGTCGCAGAGCTTGCTGCCCTGTTTCCTTTCCTCCTCTTTGCTTGGTATCTTTCCCTCCCTTTTCTACTTCTTTCTTTCTTTCTTTGTTCCTTTCGTCCTGTGATTTTCTGCCTTCTCTGTGGCCTGTGGTTTGGGAGCCCTCTTCAGAAACCAAACCAGCACTCACTTGGAGAAGCAGTTAACCCATTGGACATGTAGAGTGTTGGGTTTTTAAAGAGATGCAAAAATGAGTGCCCAGAAACCAAGTCCTGGGATTATAAATATTTTATTTTCCCTTATAATAATGTAATTTATTATTAAAACTGAAATTTCATCTTCGTATTCTACTTTTTAAAATAGCCCGTTTTTTACACTATTTTCTGCACATAGTTTTTGATCTTTGAGAATATTTCTACACAGTTGTGATCAAACTATGCATAATATATCCTGATGGTTTTGTTTGGCCTATATATCAACATTTTCTGTGTTATCACTTACAAAATTGGTCATCATTTTTAGTGGTTGCATAATAGTCCATAGATGAATAATGTACTTTCTTGGCCATTCATTCACTGTTACTTGGTTGGGTAGTTTTCAGTTTTTCACCAAAATCTAGATAATGCTCCAAAAAGTGTCTTCGTGCATAACATTTTCAGTATGTATATAGCTATAAGGTTATTTCTTTACGTTAACTTCCCCAAAGTGGATTTACTCTGTCAAAGGATACACACATTTTGAAGTTAAATTGCTTTCCAGGAGGGATTTTGATTTCTATTGATAGGAGTTTGGATTGGATTTTCTATATACTTGCACACATATATCCAGTGACACTGTATTTGGGGTCCCACACACCCAAATAAAATCTGCCTAACCCGTTTAGGGGGAGGAGTCAGCCCTGCCCTGTGGCTGGGTAGGTTAAGAGGCAGAATACTCTGAATGTCATTATTTGTACCTAATCATGAGTGTCTGCCCCCTATAAGGGCTTCAGATGATAATTTGTTTTCTGGGAATGCTCTGAGTGGTGCTAGCTAAGGAAAAATTACTAAAGGATATATTCTGAAAAACAAAACTCTTGAGTTTTACAAATCCTGAAATTTAACTTGTCAGAGACAACTGGGAAATGAGCAAAGCTCATGCAAACCTAGCAGGTGTAATTTTGGTCCAGGGGAAATGTTGGATGAAAACATGGATAGGTACGTGCACCTCTTATCAGCAGGCCAGACCAGAAGGCCTGGGGACAGTTTTTCCTCAGTCCTCGGGCACATGATGTGATTGCATTTAGTGAATGAAATTGATTTTGAAATACCAAAAGTGAAATTTTTAATGTGATTTTTTTCTTAGACAATCATAGGGTATTTTCTATAGACCTGCGGTGGAATTAACACTAATTATATCACCATGAAAGACAAGAAAAACCTTCATGATTCAAAAGGAAAATAATTTGGATTCTTAATTTATATTAGCAAATAATTTTAATGTACATTTTTAAAAATAGGAAATGTGGGGGTTTTATTTGAACTCTTTGTCATGAGTTCTGCTGCCTAACAGTTTTGGACTCTGGAAAACATTTCTAATGAGAAATTATTTGAACAAAGCTGTAGTAAATCTCTTTAGGTTAGAATAATCAGTAACAGTGGTAGCACTTCTAGATCAGTTTTTCTTTCAGAAATTAAGATTTGTTAAATCTGATTTATTTACTGACTTGTACTAATTTCTCTGTCCTTTTCCCCCCAACTTAAACCTCTGTACTTTTTAGATACAGCAACTTCAGCAAGAACTCGTACCACTCCTCCAGACCCCCATCGGGGTCCAGTGTGCCCACCACCCCCACGTCATCCCTCTCTCCCCCACAGGAGGCCAGGCTGGAAAGGTGAGTTATAAGTATCTTGATGGTGTCACTGTTCTCGAGTGACAGGAATCAATTTGATAAGAGTGACTGCAGGAAAAGTATAAATAAAAGGCATATGAAGCATTTTCCTTTACAGAACATAGTCCAAAGGCAGAATATTTTCTCTCTCTTTCACACTACTTACTAAATAAATATTTTGTTAGAGGTGATATTTTACTGTTGTTATTGTTCCCTCCCCTACACAGTTTTCATATAAAGTATAAAAATTTCTTCTGAAATATTTAAATGTGAATGTTTTGATTCACCCCTTAGAGACTATTCTAGGTTTTATATAATCTCTGCAATCTGTCTTATATACAATTTGTCTTATTTCACCTTTGAATGATTAAATCTGTGTAAATCAGAAGGTAGCGGGGCCCATTAAGGTATTGTGTAATTAATCCAGGACCTACCAGAAGGGTACATGGAAGGAATTTAACTTGGCAAGAGTATTAGACCACCAGAAATTAACTGATTGTTACTCCTAGAAGCAAATGATTGCACAAGGATGTGTTTACAAGGGAAAGGTAAGACCTGTAATTTTAGAACAATTGAAAACAGTTACCCCTACATGGCAAGAGTGCTGAGTTAGAGAAGACTGGTTAGGCTTCTAGCTCACTCACTTGCAAGTTATTTAATCCCTGAGGGTAAAATGCCAACTATGCCAACCCTACCTTACAGGGTGGTATTGATGAGTAAATGAAAAAGTCCACGTGAGCATGCCATGGGAAGCCTGCCATGTGTATCCAGTGGGAGGGGGGCAGCATAAAGGAAAATGGCGTGTAACTTTCAGCAGCTCCCAATTTATCAGGAATCTAGACATGAGCGATTCACAGAGATCATTTGCCTCAAATTTCAAAAGCTCAACCTGTATTCCACATTCTGATCCTCTTCCATGTATTCTGAAGTGTGTTTTGCTGAGCACTGCTAGCGATTGGAGATTTGGTTGGGTGTGGAGCAGGCAAGACCTTACAGCCCCAGGATGAAGGAGTGTCTAACGGGGTTTGCCTAGCCACATGTCACTGTTAATTTCTAGGATGGCATGTAAATCCCAGGATGTCAAACTCCTCAAATTTCAAAAGCTCAACCTGTATTCCACATTCTGATCCTCTTCCATGTATTCTGAAGTATGTTTTGCTGAGCACTGCTAGCGATTGGAGATTTGGTTGGGTGTGGAGCAGGCAAGACCTTACAGCCCCAGGATGAAGGAGTGTCTAACAGGGTTTGCCTAGCCACATGTCACTGTTAATTTCTAGGATGGCATGTAAATCCCAGGATGTCAAACTATCAGGTTCCACAGCCCAACCTGGCCTTGGGATGGGCACACTTGGGCTAAGTTAGGTCTTGGTAATAAGGTAACCAGTTGATTACCCTGAAGACACCCTTACCCCTCTGTAGCTCTGTCCTTTACCCTAGGGCACCTCCTCTTGGGATCAGCCAAGGTTATCTGTAGTCCTGGAGAGGTTGCCATAGAGATGACCCTTCTCTATGGAATGCAAGATTTTAAGAAAAAGTGAGGAATATTGGAGTCTGACTGATAGGACATTGTACCTCTTGCACCTGCTAGGCTGCTGGCTCCTTGGGCTGGAACTAGACTCCATCCATTCCTGTGTCCCCTCCAGTACCTGGGGCCTGGCCATAGCAGAGCCACAGTAGATACTGGTTGAAGGATCAGGTGAATTAGCAACTCACTGGTTGGGAACAGTTTGGAGGTCCACGAAGTTGGGAAGTTATAAGGACAGGAAGTCCCAGTGGCCCACAGGTTTACTTAAGCCCTGGGCTTTGGGGATGCTCCTCCCGCATTCTGAAGGGGAAGCCCCAGCCTCTGCCTTTTTTCTGATCCCTGGAAACCCAGGCCCAGGTTTGAGCTGGAAGGTGCAGGATCCAGGCTCCTGAAGGACTCCTGTCTGTGTCTCTTTCCCTGCCTGGACTGCCAGAAGTGTCCCTGCAGGGGGCAGGGGGCAGGGGTGGGGTGTGAGAGGGAGTTAAACCAGGATGAGTGGGGCTGCATCCCAGGGCACCTTGAGCACCCTGGGGAGGAGGCTGGACTTTATCCTTAGACCCTGGGAGCTGTTCAGGCTTGGAAGCAGGAGGTGATCAGTGCTAATCTGTCGGCACATAGAACAAGCTGGCGGAGGGAGGCTACAGGAATGGGGGCTGCCGGGTAGTTGCCTCCAAGCCTTGAGGGATGACCCTGACCAACAAGGGCAGTGGCATGGAGCCTGAGAGGAGCTGCAGGTTTGGGCAGACTTGGCTGCAGACTTGGGAAGCGGAGTGAGTGAGCGTTCGGGAGTGTGTGGATATCAGGAACAAGGATCTGAAGCAGTACTGGGAGAAAAGCAAATTGGGGGCGGAAGCGCCTGGGGCACATGAGGTCTGAGGAGTCCATATGATACTCAAGGAGATGCTCTGGGGGCCCTGAGGAGGTGTGGAGTCAGCAGCTTTCGGCCTGAAGGAGGCACTGGGATTGAATCACTCCGAAAGAGACTGGCACTGAGACCAGGTGACTGGGGAGCAGCAGAGGCAGGAGTCGTTCTCCTAAGCTCCTGTTCTCTTTGACAGTGCACAACAGCTGCAGGACCTTGGTGACCTTTGCCATTTGCAATATCCATCGGCAAGTAAAGTAGCAGCAAGGAGTTTACTTCCTTCACATTTGCATGTCTTCTCCACTGTCACAATGTGTGGCTTTGAAAAACCATGTGAATCATTTGAAATATCAAACGTGTGGTTTCATTAGTAAGACCAGGAAGCCACCAGAAACCAGTAGGCCTGGCTGCGTTCACCCTTACTCTCACCTGTCTAGCTTATGTTTTGTGACTAAAAAAAGTAAGAGGGGCCCCCAACTCCAACTTGTATTTGTGCACTGTCACCCAAGCATATTGTCAGTTGCACTTACAGTTTAATTTTTTTCATTTTTGGCAACTCAGTTCTTTGGATGTCACCCATAACCTAATTTCACATGTATAAGTGTTTTCTGCCCTATTAAGATACGTGATTGTTTTTACTGAGGTAGATGCTTCAGTAGAATTTGTAAGATTTATTGTTGAGATGTTTTATATACCGACATATGAGTATTATTAAAACAAAAAAGGAAAACTCCTTGGTCAGGGAAGATATTGAACTATTATGAACAATAGCTGTGTTTTTGCAACAAGAACTCACATCTTCTGTCAGGCCACCCTCAGCTAATAAACGTCTTGCCAGGGCCCTGTACAAGACTGGGGAGCTCTGGAAATCTGTTCCCTTGATTTGGAAACAAGGCTCACTTCTCTGAAGTCCTAGGAGGATCAGGCCAACTAAAACACCCCTTCAGGCACCTCGGTCCACTTTGGAAATACAACTAGGCGTCATTGTGAGCTTGGTGTTTTCCATTTTCCCCCCAAACATATTAGTGTGTTAGATGTTTATAAATCTCGAAATGATGAATTGACCTAGAAAGGAAGTGCTGAAGAAACAATATTCAAAATCAAGTCAAGGCAAGGGTATTAAAATGAATCCGTCCCCACATCTCCTATTTTAGATTCATTTATAGGGCTCTCTTTTAGATCCAGAGAGTGGAGCATTAATTTTCATGAAATTGCAACTTAAGTTGTGCCAAAACAAAACAAGAAAACCAGAACTATTTGCAGAGGCCCACAGGGATCCAAGATGCAACTGTTTAATAAAAGCAGACTTTAAAAATACTTCTATTTTGAAAATGTGCTTTTCGAGCAGGGAAGTTCTAAATATTTTCTTTTTGAAAGAAAACAAAGTTAGAGGAATATTTGAACCATTCATGTTCAGGTATTCAAATCAAACAAGCAAACAATAACCACCACACCACTGCAATTGTGCAGCTCTGGGCATTGGGAGGGTCAGAGCTCACTCTCTTCCCATGCCTGCAGTGACGTCTCCATCTTGTGGGCCTTTTCAGAAATGGAGGCTGGAAGCTAATTTGGTGTTGTTAAGACTTTCAGGATCCAATCAAGATGGTGGAATAGACAGTCCACAGCGTCACTCTCTCCCACAAATCAACCAAAATTACAACTATAAAAATGTAACATTAGCCAAGCTGGGGCCACTGGAGCTCAGGGGAAGAGGAGGAGAGACCTACGGAGTTCATGAAGGTAGGAGAAACTACAGTGAGAGAAAGAAAAAGCTGCTCTGAGCATTTCGGGCCGTGGCTGCTTTAAGGCTCGAGCTGCTGAGCACATGGAGCAGGAGCCAGCAGAAGCCACAGCTGTGCCCTTGGGATGGAGTTACTTGGAGGTGGCAGGGAAGAGGGCCTTGGTGGCCCCGAAGACACCAAGACCACTAACAGGGTTCCCATGGACCCACCCAGGAGCGAGGAGCCAGAACAGCTGAAAAAGGGAGCCACTCAGAGGCTGGTGAGTCATTGCAAGGGACCGGCACAGGGCCCGTCCCATGGGAAGTGTTTGGAGCATGGGGGGTGGGGGAGATGGGCCCACCAGGGGAACACTGGGACACAGCAAGGACAGCTGATCTGCCCCCCAGTCTGCACAGGACCACTCAGAGGCGACTGGTCAGGAATGCAGAATTGCATGGGGTGCAGTTTGATGAAAAAACTCAGGCCCAGATCAGAGATTCTACAGAACACAGATCCACCATGTCTCTGGAGAACTGGAAGTACCTATAAGGTCAACCATTAAACCCTGAGGTCCACAAAAAGTCTTCCCCAGGGAAACAGCAGCAAAGTAGCAATTTAAACAACCACACAGCTCAAGTACTGGTTCCCATAGGAAGTTCCCCTGTGTTAGAAGCAAAAGACAAAAAATTAGTTCCGGCTCAGGCACACCACCAGCACCTTCGGGCATGCCTGGGAACCAGAGGCTTGGATCTGGGGACCAGACCCCACTCCCACTTCCAGGAAAACTGCGCCAGTGCCTCGGGGCCAGCCTGGGGACCTGATGCAAGGAGAAGGGGTATGGACCCCCCACCCACAACCAGGCACACCATGCCAGCACCTTGGGGCCTGCCTGGGGACCC